CCATTTTTATGGTCTACTACCTGCATTGAAGATGACATTAATCCTAATTAGTACCTGGTGGTGTTAATTATGTTCTCCAATGTTCAAAGGAATTGTATAAATATACGCTTTCCACATGATTTGAATCATTCAAGTTTAAATATTCAAAGGAAGCGAACGTAAACTACTATAGCTAGTGTTCATCAAAAGAAAGCAAGGAAAATAAAGTTTTTCAAAGTAATTGGTTCACTCCTGCCAACAGAATTTTAAATAAAACTATCGTAATGAACGTGTTTATTGAAAAAGAAGTGATGCCTGACAGTGCTTGTGAATCAACATATAGAACATCCGAGTATGAAATAGATTTTGTGTCGAATAATGTGATCTTTGGCATTTCAACTTGGACTAGAGTTTTCAAACCGACAATCGAGGATCTGTCAAACTCCGCTTGCACCGTTAATAATGATCTACAGAATTGGGATTCTTCATGCATTGGTCCCGATGCGGACCATATATCACCGGAATGGCAGACATTTATCCCATCGCCAATGAAGAAAATCGAAACAAATGAATCGGAGGGAGTCGATGATGTGTTGTGTGAAACTAAAGACTACCACTGCGATGTATGCCCCAAAAGCTTTGAGACAATGAGAATGATGTTGGCTCACAAGCGACAACACTCAATCGCTGAACTGGAATCGGATTGCGAGGTGGAACGTGTATTGAAGTGGAAAAATAAAGAAAATAAGAAAGTTCGCAAAACCATCGGTAAAATAAGATCTTTGAAGCACAAAAAATCGAAGAAGAATACTTGGTTAGCCAGAATGCTAAGTCGTCAACAATAAATCAAACGAGGACATCAAGATGGAAATGACTTTTATTTTTGAAAGAATTTAAGAACTTTTACACATTTTTTTCTAAATCGCAAGGAAACCCAATTTACATTTTGTATGGATTCAACGCAATTTTTAAGCTTCTCTTGTTCACCAATCAATTAATGTAAAACCAATAAAATAAATAAAATAAATTGCATATCAAGAATAATCAACTGTTTTCGTTTCACTTGCTTTGATCACCTTTGGAGATGTATGTCGTTCGAACTTACAATGCATTTACTGTTTCAACCCTTTTCCCAAGATTATCGTTTTATTGTTTTTCTTGCAGCGCATATCACATTAAATCTTAGTTCCAGGTCATTTTCCGTGATACAATTACATGTTTTTATAAAATGTTCACCCTTTTTCTCATTTTTGGAGACGATCATAAAAGGATTAGGAGAAATATTGATATTACGAAAAAGTTAAATGACAAATTTCAATGCAAATCGATTTATAACCGCAGCATTACCAACAACAATAAATTATTAATTGCAACTACTAGAACCTTCCATTGTTGTCTGTGTTTTTCTCTTTTCAGTAAAAATTCAAAGACTAATTAGTAAAATAAAATGGAGACAATGTTCAATTTGAAAGTTTATTTCATGATTTAAAATTATACAATTGCTTTAAGTTTTAGTTTTGCATTCTCAAAATCAAAGTCAAGTTCCACTTTGTCAATTTCCCGAGATGACCATTACATTTATATAGTAAATTTTCTTTATTTATATAAATTAATGAGTCGTTCAGCTTCGCGCCATCCAGCATCAACTGCCCCATGTACGTTTGAAAAATACTTGGGGCTAGTGGCTTCTCCGGCGAATTGAATAACTGGCTTTCCATTCGAGTCATTTATCGGTTCAGCCAACTGTCGATTATTTGTTTCCAAAGCTTCTGCTTTTAGAACAAAGTGCGAATAGGATCCACGAAATAGAGGGTTTGAATGCCATGTTGAGCTATGAAATAGAATACAGGCTTTGAGTAATTTCAAAAGTTTATAATTTGCATCGAAGTATAAAAGTGTTTAATAAGCTTACCGAACCATTTTCTTAGCATCCGGAATGTCTAAATGCCTTAAAAACATGCGAAGAACCTTTTCAGCGCCATTTTTAACTTCAACATCAGACTTTTCCTCCATTTTGCATGCCAATTTGCCGGTGATCCATCCGCAAATAACATTCGGTTGCAGTGGATTGAACGGATAGAAACCGCTGATTCCTTCAAGCCAATCTCCATTCACCGGATCCTCGCGCACTTCTTTCACCTGCTCCAACTTCCACAAGCAACTGAATCCTTGCCAATTTTCACTCCAAAATGGTTTATCGAATTCTAAATAGATTTTGTCAACAGTTCCAATCATCATGCCGTCGATGCTATTGTATTTCCATAGCGGTAGCAACGGTTCGAACATACTCAAACATCTTTCTTTTAGAACACCCAACGAAACCGTACAGATCACATGGTCGGCTGAATAAGAACTTCCGTCTTTACATGTAATTTTTGCGGGTGCACCGGGTTGATTATAGCAAACTTTGACCACTTCTTTGTTAAATTTAGTCAATGGAATAACATCGATTACGGACTGAGGATTTTTAGCGTCGGGAATTTTATTCTAGTATTGAAAAGAAAAATTAAAACATTTTATAAGTCAATATATGTGAAATTCATGATTGGTTGATTGCAAATACCTGCATTAAGTCCAAAACAGTAGCATAACCTTTGTCCTTCCAATTCATCTTGTAATCACCGTCACACTCTTCGTATTCATGGTAATTTGTTGACAGTTCATACCATGTATCGCATCCGTCGATTGAATTCACCGCTCTATGAAATACTTCCATACATTCGTGAGCCAATTCAGAATCGACTTCCTTGAATTCATCGGATTCGAGAGCTTTCTTGAATCTAACGAAAAACAAGTTGATTTTTATTGCTTTTTTTTTTTGAAAACGAATATAATTGATGCTCACTTTGCAGCATAAAAGTTACCACTTGAGCCATATGACTTTCGTTCTTCTTCGTAATGGTCTCCCATAATGTCCATAATAAGAGCTGTGATTTTTTTGCTGAGTTCCACTGGAATCTCTTCACCATTTGATCGAACGTACCGATACCCATCGCTTTGATGTTTTTCGGTTTTATGAGCCAAGACGTTTTTATCTTTGGCCATTTCATAAACAACATTACCTGTTTCACCATGGCACCTAAGAATGTTTATTTTAGTGAAATAGTATCAAATATATTATGGAAAAAAAATATCTCAATGGATTACCATTGTGCGCCCATGTCGACAACATTCGCTCCAAAGGGGATGGTGTTGATTCTTCCGCCGATGCGATTTCCAGCTTCCAAAATTGTTACGTTGCTAAAGCCATTCGACACAAGTTTTGTGGCGGCTGCCACTCCTGAAGCTCCGGCTCCGATGATAACGATTTGCTTTTCCATGTTGAGTTTTTTTTGAAATTTAAAGAAATTCGCAAACAAACTATGTGAACGTCACTGACTGAATAACATATTCAAGCTAATACTCACAGTCTTTTATATCCAAACATTCTGCCGATTTTTTCTGAAAATGTATCTGCTAATCTTGTGATTGTGGTTCATAGAATACCACAGTTTTATCGGATTTTTGACAGAGATAATTTTGGCGGTCTGAGAACATTTTGCGAAAACTTATCATTATGTGTATGCAAACCAAAGTTCTTTTTTTTCTCGAATAATTGCCGTCTCCAAG